AACAAATATTATTTCAAATTCTTATTATCTATCAATATCAAGACATAAACTTTCATCGGTCATCATACATATGTCATTCGATAGAATTTTGCAGGCTGATTTGAATTAGCTTGATTGCAACTGTATTAGTCGAAGATTTCATTAGAAAAAAAGTCGAAATACTTCAAGAGTTACTTTTTTTTTCGAATAACAGTTATTTTGTCTTTTTTTTTGAATATGTATCTACTGTTTCTTTTTCTTCTTAAGAAATATAATCCTATTTCATAGACATTTGATTTTGTTTTTTTTTGATTTGAAACTGGACAAATCAAATTACAATAACGTTCTTATATATGTTGTTCACAACTGCATTTAAAATTGAGTGAATTTCTACAAATATCATAGACTTTTTGCGACGTTTTTTTCTTTTCATTGAAAAATTCAACACTAGCTAGATGAAAGCATCTTTCGAAACTTAACTGATAATACATATTCACAATATCTGTTTATCAAAATCTTATACTAATAGTTTGTATAACGATAGTATTGTACATTGAAATACATGCTAATTGAAACTCTACTTTTCTAAAATTGAAAACACATCGTCTAAGAAAAAATATTTCGAAAAAAACATTCGTTTTCAAACTTGGGTCTTAGAGGTGGGGGGGGGGGGGCGAGGTGGTAGTAGAACAGTTTTACGGATCTTAAATAGATTTTCTTTTTGTTTATTTTTTATTTTAGATCATTTTAATAATCAAATTCAATATAAATGATTTCTATATTTTTGTTTTTGTAATTTTTTTTCAATAAAGATCCATATAATAAAAAATTTTCTTTAAGAAAACAAGCAGCGATACCACCTCATGAAGTCGAAAAAGCGGAAACTTATTTCGTTGCGAATTTTTAGCATTTATAAGTATTTTGAACGTTTTTCATATCTATAGCATTCTGTTTTTATTTTAATAAAATTGCAAAAATTTAAAATATTGTTGAAATGAATAAGAATGACTATGTTTCACTACATGATATACAAAAGTATTTTTCGCAGCTACTGTTTCTTCAACCTTCTTATTAGATTTCATAGGTGATATTATCAATTGTCGATTTATACGAAATGATTTTTTTGTTGTTGTTATGTCTTTTCAATTTTATGTCACAATCAACAGCATTTTTTGCCATCATCATGTACAGGGTTGGAAAAAATATTTTGATAGGGAGTACCGCTATATTCTGAAATACAGTTAATAATTCCCTCGACTGTAGGGAAGGTCATATGAAAAAAAAATAGTTTGTGTGCGTGTCTGCATCGGGGACAAAAAAACTTCCACTTTAGAAAATTTTCCACAAAGGTTGACGAAAACAAATCAAGCTCGGAGAATCCGAATCTGAGGTCAGTTTCTCGAAATTTTGAATTGAATTTTTTTGGGTTCAGGAGAAAAGGTTTTTTTTGAGAAAATAAATTTTTTGTCGAGTGTAGGAACGGTTATATGAAATAAAATAAGTTTTTGTCATAGTGAAAGGTGAAACATCATAAAAAACGTTGGCTAAGTATTCGATTCTTGTGCTTTTAATATTGAATTTTCAACCAATTCAATTTTTCAGAATGAAAATTCAGTCAATCCGACATATGTGATAAGTTCTCCCTTAATCAGCTGTTTTCATAACTGGGTGTCCATGAATGAGACTTGTATACTTCTATCTGCTACAGTCGAGGATCAAGTGAGTCGAACCGACGAACGTTACTTGTGAATTTTATACCAAATGAAAGCCCGTCAAAAATGGGGTTTATTGGTACTAAATAGTAAGAGTTATCAAAACCTTTTAATGTCGAACTTAAGAAATTTTCAGAAATTTTATGCTTTTTTGGCATAGAAAAATTGAGGTGCCAATAATTCAAAAACAGATTAAAATATTTTTTACATAATTCGATAGAGCTCGTCGAGCTCTACAAAACTGTATACATTAAAAAAATTCTTAAGCCATTTTTCTAAGATAAAAGTTTAAAAAAACTACGTGGAAAATGCTAAAAAACTCATTTTTTTTGTATGGAAGAAAAATACCTGATTTTTCAATAGAATTAGCTTTTTTCATTATTTTTACTGTCATGGACGCTTCAAGATATGCTTATCAGATGCAGCGTAAAATACTGCGTCTAACGAGTATATTTCGAAGCATCCATGGCAGTAAAAATAATGAAAAAAGCTAATTCTATTGAAAAATCAAGTGTTTTTCTTCCATACAAAAAAAATGAGTTTTTTTAGCATTTTCCACGTAGTTTTTTTAAACTTTTATCTCAGAAAAATGGCTTAAGAATTTTTTAATGTATACAATTTTGTAGAGCTCGACGAGCTCTATCGAATTATGTAAAAAATATTTTAATCTGTTTTTAAATTGTTGGCGCCTCAATCTTTCTATGCCAAAAAAGCATAAAATTTCTGGAAATTTCTTAAGTTCGACATTAAAAGGTTTTGATAACTCTTACTATTTAGTACCTATAAATCCCATTTTTGACGAGCTTTCATTTGGTATAAAATTCATTATTAACTCTATTTCAGAATATAGCGGTACCCCCCTATCAAAATATTTTTTCCAGGCCTGTACTGAAAAATGTTTGCTAGAGGCCATACAAAGAACTTTAGCTGAATCTGGTTTAAACTCTCGTAAAAAAATGATGTGAACTGAAGATTAAATAGTCATTGTGAATTAAACATGCTTTTTTTTTTATCTTTTAATAAGCATCTAATATGGCTTCAACATTTTTATTCTCATTTAATTTCAGAATTGATGATACTTTTATTAAAATGTTCACGATCTGTTTCATTTTAATTTGTAATCTCATTATCTGTAGATCCTTAAAAAAAACGTTTAAATTTTCGGATGTTTTTTTTTTGTGTAAATACAGTAGGCAAAATAAGTTGAAAAGGAGCTAAGCATCAGTTGAGAGAGCAGAGTGATGTTTTTTAATTTCCGAATAGACAATTAGTTTGCAAGCCGTCTAACATAGAAAAACTTTATGTGTTCGTCTATTGATTTTATGGATGACATAAAATAAGAGTGATGATTAATTGGATGTTGTAAACAGTAAGACTTTATTCAACAATAACAAGTTTTACTCTGTACGTATTTTGGAAATATATCATCACGTTTTTATATCAAAAAGCGGAACAGCGAAAAAAAAAGGTGAAAAAGCGGAAGAGGTGGCAACCCTAAAAACAAGAGATGATGAAAGTCAAAAAGTAGAAAATAATTAATTATGCAAAATATGCTTAGAAAATCATATACAAGTCATATCAGATTTGACAGAAAGATTATACAGTATGATTTTATCAAAAATGATGGTTTTAGAATTAGTATACAAAATTGTATAAGATCATAATCCATTTTCATATGATCATCATACTTGACTTGAATAGTTTTTGTTCGGTTTTAAAGATAAAATTCATTTCTTTAATAAATTAATTATTCGATAAACTATAAAAAGAAAGCTCATAAATAAGTTTTACGATGTTACAAAACTTTACTCACTTGGAATGTAGAGTATAATGTTTTGTGTTACATTTTGAAGGAAAAAAAAAAGGGAATTATCGAAATTTAATCTATTCAATTTCAGCTCAAAATATTTAAATTACAAGAAAAGATTTTCGAGAAAATGAGAATATAGAGGTTATCATGTTCATTGAATACTAGTTTTAATTATACATGAAATATGATTATATACATTTACAAGTTAGGTACAATGAAACATATTGACATTTCAATATTTTCATGATCTTATAGTTTGTTTTTTTTTTTCTTCTTTTGAACACTGAATAAGAAAAATAATTATTTCAAACTTTTAAAAATGAATATATCAATTTGTAAAATTCTATGAACTCAACAAAAAGAATAATATAATGAATTTGTTTATTTCTTTATATTCTTATTTACCAGATGTTGAGTTATTATTAATAGATTATTATTCATATAAGACTATTTTTCTTTCAAATAGAATATTAAATGATATAAACTAACTCTTCTAGACATAAGATTAACAAAATAAAGATAACGTAAATTATTTTTTTTTTTGCTTTTTTTTAAGATTTATAAGAATGTCTGGTTTTCTTTGACTTTGCTAATGATATTTGAGCTTTGGAAATCTTGTAATATAGATGTTAACATTGATAGTTGAAAATATTTAATGAAAATGAACTTCAAATGATACTAAATAACTTTAGATTTGTTGCATGATGATATTAATACTAATTACATTTCATGTCTTCTAAGAAAATTGTATCGTGCATGACTGAATATTTCCGTTAGTAGTGTCAAAGGTTGACTACTTAGGATCCATTTTTCTTATTCATCAATTATAAAGTTTTGAGCAAAGAAAAAAAACACAATTATTATATATAATGACTTTTTTTCATATTCTAGTAACCATAAGGAAAATAGAACTATATATATATATTTTTTATAAATATGAAATTATAGTTATTAACAAAAAAAGCTTCTTTTTGATGTTTACTTTTATTTTCAATGTGTTTTTTATCTATAAATAATGTATAGTATTCTAGCTATGGAATTCTTTTTTTTAGAAGTTTCAAGTTTTTTAGAAAACTTATATTTTAGAATTTTTGATCTAAAACTTTGTACATATAAAGAACTTAATCATTATAGAATTCAAAAGTCATTAAGATTGAAGCAGTCGTTAACGATTGAGAAGATTTTTAAGAATTTAACTCTTATTGTTGGAACTAAAAGGAAAAACAAAAGAACGAAGAAAATTATTCAAGTTCGTTTGAGCAAAAAAAAAAAAAAAAACAACCACTCTTCAAAATTGACGAGGGGCGAAGTCACCTCTACTTCTATATAATGGATAATTTTGAAGGTATTCAACTATGTTAATTATTCTAGATTAGAAATGCTTGAACAAACAATAGAAAAGCCGTAATCTTCTTGAATGTCTTTTTTTTTAAACTATATTTTCATATTTAAATATATATATTTATTTTTATATTAAAAAAAAAACATAAAACTATTTATTATTTACACAATGAAGTGTTATATTTAACAGTTTGAAGAGTTTTAGTTGTTAAATGTTTAGTAATAAATGTTGGTCGTGTTAATGGTGAAGATTGATAATCAATTAGATTAATATCATTTATAGGTGAATTATTATCACGACTAATAAATTTTTTTTGTCTATATATTAAACTATTTGTATTTTGATATCTTTGACATAAATATGTTTGAATAACACGATGATTAGTATTATGACGTTGTTTAGTTTTTAATGATAATGAAAATTGACATCGACAATAATATTTAAATGAACATAATTGAAGAAATTTAATTACAGTTTGTCTTAAACGTGATGATATAATAAGATATATTATTGGTTGTAATGCACAATTAAGAAAAACAAGTAAACGAACTGTATTTAATAACCATAGAAGTAAAATTTCATTCATTAAATTATATTGAAATAATTGATTATATACAATAAAAAGTAAATTAAGTAAACGATATGGTAAAAGTAATAGAATATAAAGTAAAATAACAATAAAAAGCATAATTATAACTTGAAGATGTTGTTTTGAATGTGAATTAATTGAACATTTTGTTTTTTCTATTTTTATCATCATAGATATTGGTTGTGTATTATTTAAATTTTGTTTTTCATGTCGATTAGATGAATTCGTTGATGATGTTGATGATGTTGATGTACGTATTGATTTTTCACGATATTTATTTTGATTAATTGTATTAGGTGAAAGAAAATGATTATTTTCATTTTTATGTCGATTAATTAAATTTTTTTTATTAGTATATTTTTTAGAACTAAGAATTATTCGAATAACTTGACCATAAATAATAATAAGAAAAAATCCAGTAATTAAGTAAGTTAAAACAAGTAATAAGATTAAATAAGTACGTGACCAAAGTTCTGTGGCTTCTGTGTCACAACTAGCAACAAATGTTATCTGAGATTTATTTGTTATATTTTCTGTTTTTATTATACCATTTTTATCATATTTTGTTATTGCAAATAATGGTAAATTAATTAATATAGCAAATATCCATATAAGACATAATGTTTGACAATGATTACGTATTTGTCGTCGAATTAAATTACGTTGTAAACATCTTGGAACACCAGCTGGATAACAACGATGTACAGTTAATATTAATAAAAATCCAAGTGCTGCATGCATTGATACTTGTTGTAAAAATGGTAATAAATAGCCTATTTTCAAACAAGAAACAAAACAAAATAGAATCCAATTATTTCAACTATACATAGAATATAATAAATTATATTTTTCAAGGCTTCTATGATATATATATATATAAACTATTGTTCCTTATTTCAGATTATATATATTCATCATAATAAAATCTGATTATATTATAGAAGTAAACAAGGCATTTGCTTATGTGATATATATATACATAAAAGATGATTATAATTTTATTTAAATATTTTTCTAATACTAAGTCTTTAAAGAGTTTTTCCTTATTTACATAGATTAAAAAAAATTTTGACCTGAAAAAAACTATTTTTGTCAATATGTTAGACTATTGTTCTCAACATAATAATAATCTCCATAAACTAGTCTAAAAAAACAACCTACATTTTATTATTATTTTTGATGCACGTACACAAAAAAAATATGTCAATTATCCATTGAAGGATTTATCACGTCCTAATATGCAAAATATATATATATAATTTTGGTGTTGTACTTAGAGAAATAGATACATATAGTACTTGTTCCTGAACAAGTACGCATGATTAGTACTTGTCCTAGTCTCAAAATATAAATGTAATATTGTCATTAGTTTTATATATATATATATAGATGGGCAAACTATTGATAATCAAATCAAATTTAATATTTTTCAATGTACTTTGTCATTTTATTTCGAATTTTTGCGTTAGATCTTGAAAAATTAATTTTTTTTTTGAAATAATTTATATGAGAAAAAAAAATTACAATGAAAAAGAAAATTGTTTTTTATAAGAAGCTAAATATACTCTTAATTGTTTAATCTAGACTTGTTTTTCACCTATAGAAATAATTATAAATATATAATAACAGAAAGTTATTAACAAATTTTGCATATCAAGGACAGCAAAGATTCTTTTCATCTTTAAATCGAATAAATTATCAAAGAGACCATCTTTTCTTTTTTTTTTCTTAATTTTAGCGAGTAGCTTTATCGAATATGCAAGATTAATATATTTCAATATAATGAACTTACATGTAAACATGCCTAAAATAAAGCCATCATTTGAATGTAATATGTCGGCTATACGCTCTGGTAAACAACTAAGTATTAGAAGAATATCCGCTATGTTAACATTAATTATATAGAAATAAGTTGATGTATGCATTGAACGGTCACGTAGTATAGCCAAAATAATGATTATATTAGCAATAAAAGCAATTAATATAACAACAATAAAAACAATAAACCATGATATATTAAATAGATCGACAGACATAATTCTATATTTTTAATTGATATCTATTTTAAAATGTATAATTGACAGAAGAAATCTGAAGTTATATTTCAACTATAAATAACATTTAGTTATCAAGAAAAATTAAAAATGATTGAAAACAAAAAAAACAAAACGAAGAATAAAATTTGTATACTAATTTATATGACAATCTGAGAACATTCACATATAGAATATAGTTCTTATTGTCATTTTATCGAATTGTTTTGTTCATTGTGTTAGAAGTAGTACTTACTTTTCTTCTTCTTCATTTCAAATTCATTGTCTTGAACTGCGCATGTCTTCAGAAGTGAGTGAGAGAGACACATACACATCACTCTCTTCTCTTTTCTCTTCATCACGATCGACACTACTCTATATTATATAATATATATAAATGTGGTCCTACACTCCTAAAGAAAAAAAAAAAAAATAAGAAGAAGAATAAGAAGAAGAAAGTAGATTGTTTGTTAGTCTCGTATAATTTTAGAGAAGAAAATACTTTTTTTTTTTTGCCATAGGGAAATTTATTCAAAGTACGAGACAATTGCATATAATATTGATTGTAAATATCATGCTCTTTTTATTTTTATTAAAGCAACTACTACTATATAGCTTGAAGACACAATACAAAATCTCTATTTCTATTTTCTTAATTGAAAATAATGGAATAATGAAAAAAGAAAATTTTTTTTTTTTGTTTTTTCAAAAAAATGTAAAGAAGCTTAAAGCGAATAATATTTCTTATTAGAAAACTAATAATTTATGATTAATTAATTATTGAAAAGAATATCTTACCTAGTTCTTTCTTGTTGGTTCTGTTTATGATTACAAAGATTATTAGAAAGTGATACTAACAAAAAAAAAAAAGGGTTCTCTTGTGTCGCCATATTTATGTACTTAAAAAAGAAACATATCATGAACTTTTCTCTTTTTGAAGAGATTATTTATGTCTATTGTTGAAAGATACAATAATATTTAGACAATAATTCATGAATATTTTTAATATTAAACAGATCTTAACTCAAGAACTTTTAATATGCCTGTCAAAAAAAAAAAGAAAACTGACATCAACATATTGTTTATTATTAATTTATCATGTCATGTTGACCAAATTTTACCTAGAAATAAAAGACTCTCTAATTAAATATGTTTTAGTTCACTAACTTTTTATTGTTTTATAAATATTGCAACATATATATATATATTTCTATTGTCTTATTCTATTCAAGACTATATATACAATAGTCTCATAATTGAATCAAGAATAAAAGGATCAGTTTATTCTTATTAAATACAATATGGAAATCCTCGGCATCTTGCTAAAATATATATATTTATATGTTAAAAATTTCTCAATATACTTATCCTATAAGAGCAAATAAAAAATATTATAGAACTCTTTGTTTTATAAGTTCTCTTATAAAAATGTTTGACTATATTCATTGAGAATAAAACATGACATTTGGAGTATTTTTTTTCTATCGATAATTGCATGATATGTATCAAACAAATGTTGAATTTCCTTTACAAAACATATTTTCAATAAATCTAACTTTTTATTGATCATATTTTTTTCTCTCTCACTCTCTCTTACTCTCACATATAGTTTCAATACCAACAAAAGAAGAAAAAAAAAAAAAAATTTATAATCACTTCCAACAAATGAATACAATAAGTTTTTATGAAACAAACAAAACAAAAAAAAATGCTTCTCTCTCTCTTTTTTTTAAAATCTTGCTAGTAGAATCCTATAAGGACTGTTTGTTGGAACAAAGATAACATCAAAAGAATAAACATAGAAAACAACAAGTATACATCTAGAGTTAATATATATATATATATATGTATATATGCATGCAACAAAACACATACACACACACACACAGAGAGTTATTGCGGAAGTAAAAAGTCTGTCGTTGAATTTGTTGTTGATGATGAATTCGTTGGATCATTAATTGTTGTTTGATTTGTATTTAATTCATTTGTTGTTCCTGAATTTTTCATAACAGTAACAAGACCACCATATTCATCAAAACGAAATGGTGTTGTATTATTACTTGCACATATTAACTAGAAAATAGAATACACTTTAAAAAAAAAATAATTAAAGGGTTCTCTTACATGTCTACTCTTTCATGACAATATATATAATCTTAGTATTTATTTTTAAAAACATCATAGATAATGCGAAGGTGGAAGAAGATTTGTCCTATTCTTTTTTATCCTTGATTTGTAGTTACTATTCGGTTCAGTTAACACAAATAGGTTGTCAATTTTTTGAAAACAAAAGTAGAAAGCGTAAGCATATACTTTTTTAGACTTAATTTGTTATTCATGATAAAATAAGAGAACGTTTCACCTCAATAATAATCAGTCGTAAAAAGAAAAAAACAAAAACATCTTATTTATTCTTTTGATGTTAAATAAAAACGTTCGTGAAGTGTAAAACTCTTTTTTTCTTGATTTCATTAGACGTTAATTCAATCAAATATTTATTTGACAACATATAATCTTACTTTGAACATTTTTTTTTATCGTACTCAATAAATCATCAAAGGTTTTCTAGTACGGCATATTCAACTTTCATACAAGACCTTCCATTAAAGCTTTTATTTTATTGCAACTAACCTCAGCACGACCCCGTGATTTTATTTGTTGATGAATATTTCCATTATTAGCAGAATCTAAAATGACAACCTACAAAAAAAAAAAAGAACTATACGTTCTTCTCTCTCTTTTGTTTTTATGATAATAGATGCTTACATCCATACGATGTTTTTCTGTAATATGTTTTATAAATTCATCAACATTGCTTTGATATCGACGACAAAGTCCACATTGAAATCTAAAGAAAAATAATATTCGAATAAAATTATTATTATTTATTTTTTTTTGTTTGCTATCAAACTTTGTATTTGGATTTGATAGAAGTGCATCATTAGATAAAAGTACAGGTGTATTAGATTGTCCTGCATGATTATGATGTAAATGACGCTTAAAAAAAAAAATAAAAGATTTTTTTTTTTTTTTTGTAATTGAAAACTATAAATGATTTAATTTAATTTACTTTAAGATTTGTTTTTTTATCTGTTATATATGAACAGAATGTACATACATGTGCTGAATCATCTAATTGTAAATGTTCACTTTTAACATGTTCATTTAAATGATAAAGTTTTGTTGTTGAAAAAGGACATTTTTGACATGTAAATACACATTTTGATATAACTTTATAACATTGTGGAACTGTACCATGTGGTGGAGGAATATTTGGCATATCAGAATTCTATATATGAATATTATTATATTCAAAAGATATGTATAATTATAAGAAATTTAGAATTAAGAGGATGTTTGTTGTTTTCTTTTTTTTTTGTGCTTTTTTGTTTCGGGCTATTTCTATTTATAGAAAATCGACTAATAATAATGTATTGAAAATGAAAAAAAATTTAGCTTGTTGCTTGTCAAAATAACAGGAAGTACTGATAAAAGATGTTTATAGAAAGCTTTTTAATGGGTAAGTTTATCGAGTAAATATTTTGTTTTTTTTTTTAAAAATCAATGTATGAATTATGACTAAATTTTTATTGAAAATAAAAAAAGAAACTTCGATGTTCAATCTAATAGTGTCACGTTTCGATATAAATATTAACATGTAAGTTCAAATTTTATACTGTTTCAACTTTATTGACATTTTATATCGTAGAAAAATATATGCTTGACATTTTATGATTTTTTTCGGTAAGAATCTGTCATATTTGACATCCTGAGTGCATTCTCTGTTCATATATATGGAAAAAGAAATTCCGGATACATGCCTTTTGGCTATGTTTTACTGTTAAACAGGTGAATATAAATCAGAGATATTAAAAAGCTACATAGCGGAATAATCATTATAATTTTTGCTTAGAGAAAAAAAAAGGAAATGAAAGCATCAATATTTGATTTCAAATTTGCCTTAAAAATACACACTTGAGCTAATTTACTCATGGATGTGCTTACTAATCATTTAAAATTCATATAGATTATTAGAGTTTTTAATTGTTCATAAGATCAAAAATTATAACTAAATACATTATAAAAATTCAATTTTCTTATAAACATTCGAGTAAGTGTAATAGTGTTATAATCTTTTATTCAAGTTCTTTGAAAAACTTCGTTCTTTTTCCCTCCTGAAAAAAACATTGTCTTAATACCTGATGATATTTATTATGAATGACAAGTAGATGTTCTTTTTAATAATTGCAGTCTCAAGATTTTTTTTTTTTTTTATAAAGTAGTCTTCAAAAATTTTGAAATCTTTGTTAGTTTTTGAAATATTTTTTTAATTTATGAATAGAAATTCTTATAATATTTACTCGTTTTAAAAGATCAGAACCAAATAAACGATTTCCTCGACCAATTTGTGGTATATTTAATTTATGTATTGATGTTAAATGACGTTTAAGATGTTCCATTTGATAAAATTTATTATTACATTTTGGACATTCATAATTACGTTGTCCTTGATGATAAAGCATATGACGCTAGATTACAAAAAAAAAAAAAAAAAAAGATATTCAAATTATCATTAAAAATAAACAAATAGATTAGATTTATTACTTTTAATTTTGAAAAACTTTTACAATTATATGGACATAAATTGCATTGAAATTTATTTGTCTGACTTGAATGACTATAAATATGATTTTGAAAATCCTATTAAATATAGAGAACAAAAAACAAAAATTCGCATAAAAAAGAAAACGTTTTTTTTTTTCGTTACCGAATAATCATGAAAGATTGTATCACATTTATTACATTTCCATTCTTTTTTATATGTTTTCGGTAGATTATTTAATATATCAAGTCCTTCAATATCCCAATGTCGACGAGCCATATGAATTTTAAGATCAGCATTTGTTGCAGCCATAAATGAACAATAAGGACATGGAATAGATCTATATAGAATATTAAAATATAGAAAGAATTTGTTTGTTTGTTTTTTTTTTACTTTTCTAAATGTTTATGTGCCATATGACGTTTAACATGTGTTGTTGTACAACCACGATAATGACATAATGGACAAGCAAAATCTTTTCCTTCACTACCCATATGAACACGTAAATGTCGTTTCATATTCGCAATACCAAGAAATTTTTTTCCACAATGATCACATACAAAATCGAATGGATCAAGTTCTAAATTATACGAGATAAATTTTAAAAAAAACAAAGAATAAGACATTGTATATACCAGCATGTTTTTTTGCATGTTTTATAGCTTCAGATCTTGATGTAAATGCTTCACCACATTCATGTACTTTACAACAATATGAATGACTCATTTGATCAGCTTCCTATTTTTGATAGAAATATTTTAGAGATCTGTAATTTTCATTCGATCAAAACTTGATTGATAAATAATTAACTAATTAAAATGAGATCTTCGTAGAAATTTTCTGAAATTATTTCTCGATTAATTTACGAAAATTCGACATTTCTAGTTTCGAGAGTTATAAAACTTCTCCTAAGATCATAGATATTAGTTTATTGATCTGTGATCACCAGAAAAAGCATTGTGTAGAATCGAATGATAATCTTTATTTTAAGATTTCAAATGTTCTGACACTCTTATATCGACTTCTTCATATGAAGACTGATTGTAGAATGTTAGAAAAACCTTGAGATAACGGAATTAGATCATTTGAAACATAAGATCAAATATTATCATTTTCATCTTTGTCCGGTAGTCACATGTTAATAAATTAAACTCGAACACTTCAGAAAAAAAACCTCTAAAAAGGAAAGATTTTAGAATACAGTTGCTATAGCTCTATATAACTATTCTTAGTATGACGATGGTTTTTTTGCTACTCTGTATCTCTTCAAGTTATATATGTCTGTTTCCTGTTGATATATATATTTGTTGTATAAACAAACTGATAAATAACAAAAGAATGTCTAATAAAGTGTTTTTCTATTCTTGTTGAGATTCCTATCAAAAATTGTTACATTCGTCAATGATGATAGATTATTATTTGTACATGTCTCTGTTTGAAATTCTATAATATCTTTCTGACATGAGCATTTGTTTTTAACCATGAAAATCGATGATGATAGCTGTTCTCTTGACAAAATATTTTGAAACTGTTTTTTCTACTATTGAATAGTGATGCATCTTACTGATTTCGAATCATATATGTATCTAGTTCTACAATTTTTTGTATTACAATGTTATTGATCTATTTTGTGATTGAATTATTAATAGAGCAAATAAACATTTTGGTTTTTGATTAAACGAACATCCTACCCTAATTTTGTTCTTCCTATCGATCCTCTATAAATAGTTATGTCAAACTGTCACTGACTAATTTACTTATCAAACTTTGATGTGTATCTTTTCTTTTCATTCATCATTCATTACTAATAATATAAGACCTTTCTAAAAAAATGTGTTTATATTAGTTCTTTAAATATTTTTCTTCAGATTGTTTAATATTAGTGACATCTGTTACTAATTTCCATTCTATCTACTTCTGTATTCATTTTCATATGTTTTTGTTTTTTTCTTTGCCATCGATTTCAATATTCTTAGATATCCTACTTATGTATATAACTATCTGATTTAATTTTTTTGAAAGTATTTGAAAACTATCGTTTTTTTTTTTTGTATTTGTGACAATTATAAATATGATTATATAGAATATTTTCTTAATTGATCACGTTTGCATTAATAAAACTATCCTATAGAATTGAAGATTTGACAAAATCTGTTTATCAATTAATTGTTTAATTTCCGTTTTTTTCTTAATACAATTCTCTTTTTAAGTAACAGGAAGACATCTTCTGATGTCTCCTTCCTATTTCAATGATTGTTTGTCTGAAGATGCTACAAAGTGTTCTCATTAAAATCTTAAAAGGATATAAGTTCCTATTGATATGTAACTCTACGAGAACAAAGTCATTGATGATGCCTCATCAACTGAATTGATATTTTATATAGAAGTACTTCTCTGCAAGACTAATAGAAGTCTATAAGAATTTGTCTTAATATATCGTCTTTGCTAAATTATTATCATTTTAATGAATTTTTGTACTCAAAATCTACGTACGAAGCGAAATGTTAGTTCAAATGATGAGTCTTCACTCTAAAAGAAAAACGGATTTTTACCGAACTCCCAAAAAAGGTTCCGGAGATTTCTAAAAGCGTCCAAAGGTGTCAAAAGTCTCAAAAAATCTACGAAACCTTTAAAGGTTCTTACCGTGTGCCCAGGATAAGAACCTTTTGCTGCGAAACGTTTTTTAAAGTTCCGTACAGCAGAAAAAGGTTTCGTAGGAAAATACGAAACCTTTAGAGTTTCGTATTAAACTCTATGAAATCATGAGGGTTTAATATGAAACTCTAAAGGTTTCGTATTTTTCTACGAAACCTTTTTCTGCTGTACGGAGCTTTAAAAAAGGTTTCGCAGTAAAAGGTTCTTATCCTGAGCACACGGTAAGAACCTTTAAAGGTTTCGTAGATTTTTTTATCCTTTTTTTCAGACTTTTGATGCTTTTAGAAATCTCCGGAACCTTTTTTTGGAGTTCGGTAAAAAACCGATTTTTTTTTTTAGAGTGTTAAGTTTTCGAAAAATTCGTGTCATCTATGTATTGGATAGAAGTCGTTGAAGTAATTCCTTTGTAAGCAAAAAAATTCTTTATTCATTTAGAATCTAGTTATACGAAAGTGAATAACAATTGTAAAATCTTGTCTACAGATCAGTAGATACTTATTAGTTAATTATCAAATAGTGATATTTTATTTTCTAATTATATACAAGAAAAACTCAGATCTCGATCCGAAATATAAATTTGCAGTTTTTGTAAATTTTGAATATTCTATTATAAACTTACATCAGTTCCAAGTGGATCATTTTCATTATCATTTGGATATGATTGTGATTCAAATAAACTTTCAAGAAATCTTGTATACATTTCTGGACATTGTTTAAATGAATGTTTAGATACAATAGCTGAACGATTAAAATCAAAAAATTCTTGTTCATCTTTAAAAACAACCTTTTCACGATAAAAAAAAAATAAAAGAATAAGAGTAAGAATAGTTATTATTGTTTATATTTTACTTTTAATATATGTGCTTGTAAATCTCCACGACGACATTCTTCTAATATTAATCGTCCTAAATTTCTTTCAATTGAATCAATTAAATGTTTAGCTGAATTTTTATCAAGTTTAACTGATACAACACGATTACCACGTTCATCACATACAAATGTACGTCCTTTACGATTAAATAAATCACTATATTGAAATGATGGTTCAAATTTAATATCATTATCAGCTCTTAATGAACCCATAACTAAATCAGGTAATTGTGCTGGATGATAACCAGGTCCTGTTGTTGTTTGTAAATGTGTATTATTATTATTATTATTATTATTATCATCATCAAAATTCGACATATCATCATCATCAAAATCTAAAACACGATGTATTGATGCTAATTCATCATCATTTAAATCCATTCCAAGTTCATCATCAGAATCAAATGTACCATTAAATAAATATGAATCATTATCATATTTATTTGATGAACGTATTGTTGTTAATTGTTGAGTATTTAAACGTTTATTAGATGATGTTATATCATAATCAATTGAATCAATTGATGATTGATGTGGACGTATACGTACAATTGGTTTAATATCATCATTATTTATTATTGTTGTTGTTGTTGATGGTGGTAGTGGTGATTCATTTGTTGATAAATCATCAAATGTTGATGATGATGATATTTTAACTTTATTATTTGGTAACATTAATACATCAACAGATAATTCATCATGTGTATTTGTTATTTGATCATTTAATGGACGATAAATAATATCAGCATCGACTTTATAACGTTTTGATGGTATAAATGTATCATTTAAACGTTCAACAAGAACGGCACATGGCCGTACAAGATGTTGATGATTCTTTTGCATTTGATTTATCTTAAATTAAAAAAAAAATAAATTATTTTTCAAATTTCTTATGTTCAACCAATCAAAGCAGCCACGACGGTCTCCTCTTGGACACAATAATATTTCATATTATTATTCAGAATAAAAAAAAAAAAAAAAATAATGACTAGCTCCCTCTGTAACATGTATTGATGAGACAGAATTTTTGTTCATTACCGAGGATTTATTTAAATAAAATTTCATTGGTGCAAATGAAGTTTTGTGTTTTCAATAAAAATTTTTTTTTTTTCTTTTGTTGGAAAAAGAACATTATTTATTTATTTTTTCGAATTATAAGTTTATGAATAATTTTGATAGGATATATTATTAGAGCGACATCTATAATGCTTGAAATTTTTTGGACTTTTGGCAAGATCGTATGATAGATCATGTTGTTTTGTTTTTTTGTCTTCAAAATAGAATTTAAATAGATGAAAAAGTTTTATTATTCAGAAAAAAATAAAATAAAATTTATTAATTATGAATATGAATTTTAAGAATTATGATTATGTTTTACTTTATCAAATATTTTAGATTTATTTGAAACATTCAAGATGATCATTTCGATTGTTGAAAATGATGTATTGTTGTGTAATTCTTTAGTCTGTTTATGAAATTTTGTTTTTTTTTTTTGGGAATAATACACTTTGTTCTTTTTGATATTCGTGATACAAATTGATGCATTCAGAAAGTTCTAACATTCGTTTAGAACATCAGAAAATGAAACACTTTCTTTAATGTTACTAAATATTTACCTTATAGCATCTGATAAACAAATATATGCACATTATTTCTTTCACTATTTTCATTGTTTTACAAGGTTATAGAAAAAAGCGGCATATTAACATTGGTTTTCAATCTTTTTACGGCGTCTTTTTTTTTTTTTGTTGAACTAGAAATTCTTAAATGTAATCCTTTCATAAAATAAATTTTCTAGATAATTCATGTCTTCCGATTATGATGATGATTCAGACAATGTCTATAATAACAATGATGAACATTTTCAAACTGTATATCAAAGTTATTCATCTGCATTTTTAATTGAACGTAATCAAAAGAATGTTGAAAATGGTGGTAAAATTATACTTCCAGAAGCTGCACTTGCACAATTAGTCGAACAAGTAAATAAAATAAATTTTCTTATTAATATTCAGTTCATGATAAATATGAAATACTTTTACAATATAGATTTACTTTTGTTTTCTTCATCGAACCTTAGCTATGTAAAATATACATATAGAAATACTCTTCATTTCTATCGTTTCCTTAGTGTAAAAGATGGATGTACATTCGAAAGACATTGCTGATTAAAAAAAAAAAAAAAGAAATATGAATATTGGATCGACACGATTACACATGATAAATATTGAGTATTTCTATCCTGTTTTTTTTGTTTTGTATTTTGATGATTAGCACATCCTACATATTTCTCAGATGGTTAGAACTCATCAGGTTAAGAATTTTCGTTTTTTTTTCTTCCTTCTAGACTAATGTTATGTTATTTAAATTAACAAATCCTAAATGTAATCGTTCAACTCATTGTGGTGTTTTAGAATTTATACCAAATGAAGATTCACATTGTTTTTTACCATATTGGATGATGAATTATTTACTATTAAATGATGGTGATGATATACATATTGAATCAGTTCATTCATTACCTGTAGGAACATTTGTATGTTTTCAACCACAATCAAAAGATTTTCTTGATATAAGTAATCCACGAGCTGTTTTAGAACATGTTTTAAGAAATTTTAGTTGTTTAACAAAAGGTGATCTTATAACAATAAATTATCTTAATCGTAATTATGAATTATCAGTTTTGGAATTAAAACCATCAAATGCTGTATCAATAATTGAATGTGATATTGAAGTTGATTTTGCACCATCAATTGATACTATTAATGATAAAAAAATTTCAACAATTAATAATGATGAACAATATTATAAAAATTCATCTATATTTATGCCATTTTCTGGACAAGGAAATAGTTTAAATGGTAAAGTAAAATCAAATGATAAAGAACAACAAAATAATATAGATAATATTTTACAAAAACGTGGAATACCAAATTATGATTATAAATATGGTTTATTACAATTTCCACGTATATCATTACGTTCTATAAATAATGTATTAGATAAAAATTCTTCTAATATATTTCAACCATTTAAAGGTGAAGGAAAAACTCTTAGACAACCTCGAAATCAAAAACCCAATTGAAGCGAGAAAAAAAAAAGAAAGAAAAATTTATTTAGTTTTTTTTTTTTTTTTTTCGTTTTTCATAAATCAATTTATTTCTATACTAGAGAGACTGACATCATATAGAGAAAGAATAATAAATTCTTTATTTTTGTTTATTGTTTTTTTTTTTTTTAATATGTACGAAGTTCAGGTGGTACATGACCATTGGTTAGATCGCAGAGAACATCACGAAGTTCATCATCAGAACAAACACGAATTGTTCGAGGTGTATAACATGATGAACTTCTATAATAAGATGGTGAACTTGGATAATAAGATGATAAACATGGATCATAAGGTGATGAATTACAATAACGATTCCATGAAGATGTTACATCTCTCATTGTTGTATAGCTTCTTCGACCTTCACAATAATCATCATAATAACGACAAGGATCATATTCATATTTACGTGAGGATTGTGTACAATACCTATAAGGTGAATCATAGTCTGAGTAATCACATAAATAAGATGAAGAACGAGTTAATGATGGTTCACGTCTCGTTCTTTCCCATGTACGAAGTATAGGAGGAGATGGAGCACGTCGGTATCCATCACAATAAGGATCATAACTATCATCTCGATAACGACTACTAATAGATGTTACTGGTAGTGGTGGTGGTGGAACCACACGACTTGCTTCATTAACTAGATATGAATGTAGTGGACTCGTATTCGATATATTAATCTCAGCACCATATCGTTGAAGATAAGACCGAGGATCAGCTCGAATAACTCCTTCATTTATAAATTCTTTACAAATACGTGCTTGAGGTGCATCATGTAAAACAAGTAGATTCGGTTCTTGTAGTGGTCTAAGAAAAAATAATGTATAAATAGATAATCGATTAGAAAAATGTATATATATATACATGCAAGGTGGTGGTGCTCGTTCGACAAGTATAGGTCGTTGATTCGTTTGTTTATATGGTAACCAACGTTCAATAATAACATCCGATGGTTTAGGTGGACATGGCGGATAACGTTCGACTACAATACGACGTCGTGGTCGTGGTGTAGGTATTACTTTTTCAACAACTGTTGCGGGAATTCGTGGTGGTATTGGAGGAGGTCGTTCTCGAAGTATCTTTTGAAAGATAAATAAGAAATAGAATTTTTATTTGATAGATGTATAGTTTTAATTACTATTGGTGGTGGTGTAGGACATGGTGGAGGACGTTGTCGAATCTAAAGTAATATGAAAAATAAAATTTAAATTCGAAAATTAGAATTGATAATTAATACTTGAATAGGTGATTGTGGAGGTGGTGGTGGTGGACGAACTTCACCTAATACAAAAAAATAATTAAAAAAAAAAAAGAAGCTTTTAGAAATTTTTTTTTCTTTAGTTTACGAATAATAAGTGGTCCCGGTGGTGGTGGTGTAGGTGGTTTTAAATATCTTATGGTTACATTTTGTTTATATGTAACAGGATTTGTTATTTTTTTACGAATAATAATTGGTGGTTGATCATTTAGTTTAACATTATTATTTATTATATTTTGTTGTTCAGTTAATATTGTTTGTTGTTGGTTTATTGCATTATTAACTGATGATAAATTTATATATTCATTCTGATGACTTGTTATATTTGTTGGTATTGTTGTAATATTATTTGTATCATAAACTTCTTGATAATTATTAAGAAGAATATCATTTGTATTATTAAGAAGAATATTACTTGTATTTGTTGTACAATAATCTTGTTCAGGATTATTAATAATAGTATTTGTTGTATAATAATCTTGGGTGGTATTATTAATAAGAATATTATTTGTATCAATTTCATTATATGGTGATATAGATGTTTGTCCATGAATAATTTCACTCTGCCATCCAACTGGAGCAGCTAGACATGGTGGAAGTGATTCCAAAAGAATCGATGATGAATCTGAACTTGTTAATAATGGATTAATTACTGTTGATGATGATACTATATTAGGTAATACTTGTGTATTATCATTTATTATCAATGGAGATATATTCCCAAACGGTGAGGTCATTTTACAGCCTGGTACAAATCTAATACTGTTAAATGTTAATAAGTAATAGATAAGGAGTAATGTATTTTTTGTTTTGTTTTTTTTTAGCGTATGATAAACCTCAAGGTTTCAATAAGTATTTTTTTGATATTGAGCAGTTACTAGACAAAGAAAAAAAAATAGGGCATCATTCAATGATATGTCATGTTGCAATAGTAGACAAGTGACTGATAGTTATAAATATAAGAAAAAAAGGCAGAGTAATCATTGAGAGAGAAAAAAAAACCCAAGGACAAAACAACCGTTCGTGATGTTCACTGTGTACAAGGTTTTTGTTTTTTTATTCTATTGGATTTTAATCATCTTTCGTTTTTTTTCCATAATCTTTTCTTGTCTGTTGATTGATACGAAAAACGAAAATGCTTACTTGGTCTAGTTGAATATTAGATTTGAATTTATTGTATTTTCTGTAAATACTATTAAGAACTAGGAGAAGCCTATAAAATGAAAAAAAAAAAGAAAAAGTTGAGACGACGTATAAAGTCCTTCATGCATGAGCGAATACATTCCTTTAATAAACAAATGAAAAATAAACCTTGCTAGTTAAATTAGAGATAGTGGTCCATATAATTAAATTAAAAAAAACAAATGATTAATGTTTTAAAAAACGATAGAACCCTATTATGAGGGTAGAAAAATATTTTTGAATAATTAATTATATGTCACAGATGATGATTCTTTAATTTTGCATATCGTCTATCATATCCATTCTATCAGTAATATATTTTTTCGGTATTCTTCATAGCTTATATTTAATTTATTATAATACAATCGAGAAATATCGTTTATTAATATTGAGTCAAATATGAAATAATAATTGACACTGTGTTTTGAAAGATCATTCATAGAACAACCATGCTTATTGATATATATATATATATATGTGCAATTATATGTTAATTATTTCTATTTCTTTTTAAATATTGTTGAATGAAGAAGTTCATATCAATGATAGAGACTTTTTTTTTTGTAATTATAGTCAAATTACACGGTTCTTCATCATTTGAACAGTCGAATATTTTTTTTGTTTTTGTTGACCTTCATTTTTTCGTCAAATACAAAATAAATAAATGAAATATGTGAAACTTATATAAATAAGTCAATCTAAAAGTTTTATCATATTTATCTGTTTTTTTTTTCAGATAATTATGTTGAAACCAAAAGCTTTAAGTGAAGTACTTGCTCAAGTAACTAATGGAGGAATTCAATCAACTGTGTATGTTTATTTAATGTATTTAATATCTAATTGAAGTTTTCTTTTTTTTTATTCAAAGCTTATTGACACGTGATGGAGCTTTACTTGCTTATTCAGGATTTGAAGCAAAAGATGCAAAAATTATTGCTGCTATGGCAAGTAGTATATTTGCTGCACATCAACGTGTTCGACAAACACCTGGATCAGCACTTCCACATAGTATTGTTGGTTCGGGTGATTTAAATATGATATTACTTGATGCAGAAGTAAATTAAATTTTATTTTAGGTTTTTTTTTTGTTTTTTTTGATTAATTTATTTAGGAAGGAAAAATGGCTATTGCTTCTGTAGCTACTCAACTTGTTTGTATGGTAGCAAAAACAAATGTACAATTAGGAATGTTAAAAGCTAAAGTAAATTTATTTTATAATAAAAATTATATGTTTTATTTTATTTTTTGTTTATTTCTATTTTCTTTTAGATGGATGCTCTTTCATCCTATCTTCAAGAACCATTACGTCAAGTATCGCAAAGCAATAACTAATAATAATAATATTCTATAACTTTTGATGATTATGTTTTTCTTTAATTTTTTTGTTTTTGTGTTTGTTTCGCTGTAAATGATACATCTTCCGGTTAAGAGCATTTCGTTTTCTTTTTGATGTTTATTATCTCATAGAAAGAAGATTAAAATAAAAAGACTAATGTGTTTTTTTTGTTTCTTGATTTTTATTGCAAAACGAAAAAAAATTTCTTTTTTATAGAGACCATTTCCTTTTTTTTATGTACATATTGAACAAATTTAATAAGGTAAACCGTCGACAAAAAAAAGACGACGGATAAATTTATTCAATGGATGACGATTGTCTAACATTACTTGAAGATATTGATCATGAACAAATTAATGAAGATGATGATGATCCACTTATAGCTGAGGTAGGAAAAAGAAATTTCTTGAATAATATTAGATGAGAGTTCTACTTGTCAAAGTGCTATTTGCTTGAAAAAGTATTCCTATTCGATTAATCTTGATAAGTTGTGAAAAAGGTTGAATTTTGCGATTTGATCTTGTCATAATCCTTCGACATAGAAGTAATCGAAAGATCTAGAAATTTTACAATAAACTATTCTCAATTAAAGGTTTGTATTCATGCAAAGTTTCAATTCGAAATTAAATTTTTCTGAAGATGATTCAAAAATAAATCTAAATACTTATATTTCTAGGTTGATATTTATTTAACACGTATATTTGCTGATCAATTATATTTATTTCAATATCCACTTCGTCCAAATCATCTTCAATTTGATAATAATTCAACATTTATTGGTGCTCGTTTAAAACCTAAAAATAAACTTGTACAACTTGATTATGTTCTTAATACACAATCAGATTTTTATTGTAAAAATAATGAAACAAATATAATTGAAAATTTAATACCAACACCACCACCACCACCACCATTATCATCATCATCATCAAATGAAAAAATTAATTCAATCGATCGTTTAACATTATCATCAACAAATACAACATATGGTGATAATTATAAACGTTTTGCTGTTGGAATTTTAACATCAAATGGTATACAACTTTCACCATTAAATGCAATATTTCAATTACGACCTGATTTTGATTCAACATCATCAATACTTATTCAACAATCAATAACATCTATTAATGATAATGATGATGATGGTAATGGTAATGAATCAAGTACACAAACAGATGATATAACAACTGATGAAGAAATTAATGAACTTGTAACAATGAAATTTTGGAAACCAGAAGGACGTTTACAACGTGAAAAAAAAATGCGTTCATATAATTATATTGAACGTGCTCGAAATGAAGAACGATGGATTGATTTTGCTTATTATTCATTAAATGAATTCGAATCAATTGAATTAAGAAAAAAATGGACAATAATTGATAATAATGAAAAAAGTCTTTTACCTATTCGTTGGAGAAAAACTATTTCAATTCAAGATTATTTTCAATTATTATTTTTTGATAAACAAATTTTATTTGAAACTTCAATTGAAAAAGAAAAACCGTCAAAAATTGAATCAACTATTATTACTGAACAAAAACCATTAATTATTCCACCAACAAAACCAAAAAAGAAGAAAAAATCAGATCTGGATAAAACAACAAAAAAACTTTCGAGAAAAAGTATAGTAAAAATAATAATTATAATAAAAGAAGTTTTATACAAAAGACTATAATCATACAAATAAAGTCAGATTCAATTCAAGGAAGTCTATAGTAAATAGCACAAAGTATTGATTAATGAGGAAATCATTTAAGTTTATTAATGACTTTTTCGTTCAGACTATAAGAACCTTTTTTTTTTTTGAGTTACGGTTCTGGTCAAGAAATCGAATGGCGATAGTTTGACATGAAATTTTCAGGACATTCTACATAGGGGAATCAAAAAGTTCTGAGAATTTTAAAAAGGATCGTGTCGGATTTGATGATTTATTCAGAATTTAAAAAAAAAAACATCCCATGCTGTAGAGCAAGTCGAGTTGCGTCGAATGGTATATAACAAATCTTGTTCCTTGGTATCAGTCGAAAGTGTTTGTAAACATAATTTTCTTATATACAGTTTTGTAGCGTTTTTCACGAGCTACAAGCCCATATACTCAACATCTCCGATCGTTCTATCTTTGATAGAGAAAAATGAGACTTTTCGATGATCCACCATCGTTTTCCACAGGTACTGGCTGTTGGAGAATCTTTGAATCCACGGGCGTCTATCAGCAAATCCAGTTTGGTTCCCTCAAAACCTTATGAAAACAAGATTTGTGATATACCATTCGACGCCCCTCGACTTGCTCTACAACATGATGTGTTTAGTTTTTAATTTTGAATAGGTTACCAAACCCGGTATGGTCCTTTTTAAAATTCTCAGAACTTTTTGATCTCCCTTGCAATTCAGAGCTGGGTAAGTATGTTCGATTACGAGGACGTCAAGTATTGTACCCAGTGAAGTTTTAATTACAAATAGGCCTGTCCAACAGATAAACTCTAGAAAAACAATTAGAACTCTGAAGGAAATAGTAAAGAAGACTTTTTTTTTGGGTTTTTCCATAATTCAATGGGCTCTACCTTATGCATGCAATCCAAAATCAAAAACAATCTACCATTTATCACGGTTTCTTCGTTAGATCTCAATATCAAGAATCGCATTCATGTAGAATTCAATTTTCAATTTCATAGTTTGTTGATGTGTAGAGCTCAACTATAAAAAAGAATAAAATCAGGATTTTTAGACCAATGGGCAAATTTCTCTTGTGTCGAAAAGAAAGGATGGGCAAGATTTTGATTGATAAGCAAAACATTTTTTTTGGTCCAACAAAGTACTGATAACGTAAAAAAAAAAATTAAATGAAGTCCTCGTAAGCCTGAGTCAGGTGTATTTTAGTCTGTTATTAATGTCTCTGTTTATAAGATTTATATTTCAAATTCAAACTACTGTATTTTAAATTTAAAATCTAAGAAACTCAATATTTAATCGTTCAGAATCAAAATTTCAATTATATTTCTTTTCTTTACTTCTTAGGTCGAGCTAAAAATCGAAAACCTACAGATTCAGCCATTGCAACAAAGTCTGAACAACAAACACAAACAACAACAAGTACACCATTATCATCTGTAACATTACCTAAAACAATGATCAAACAAGATCCTGAAACAATACAAAGTGAATTATTATTGTTCATGAAACGACGTTTTGGTTATCGACCATATTTTAAATTAAGTGAAATAAATATTGGTAAATACAAAAATATATAATATAATCATTAAATTTGATGTCTTTTTCATTGTATATATTTTTAGCAATTAAACTTGAATTAATCTCATCTCCACCCGGTCATCCACTCGCATCAGGAGTTACAGAAGCAAGTATACTTCGAGCAGCTGCAGAAATTGGAGCAATTTATGTGAACAAAAAGGTTTCTCAATTTTTTTTTCTTTATTAAATTGAAAGTAATTTTAAAGTTTTTTTTTTTTTTTTATTATTATAAAGTGGCCAAAGAATCTCAAACAAGAACCAGTTTTTATTAATGCTCAAATGGGCGATAAATATGATATGGTAAAATATAAGTGAAGAAAGCTTTTTGTTATTTTGATAATTAATATTTTTTTTAGCTTCGTCGTTATGTTGCTGAACTTCTTGAAAAATGTGATAGTTTTCAATTTACTGACTTACGTTCACGTATTAAACAAGAAAATCAAACACAACAATTTCCTGTACATGAAGTGAAAAAATTTGTTAAAGTATGATAAATAACATGTTTATCTCATTCTAAATATCAAAATACAGTTCGATTGAATTTTAGACCTGATGATCGTTTCTATGAGATCTAATTTAAATAATTATCTCATTAGTTTCGTGATATCAATAAATTTAAAGAAATCGAGACTATGTGTATTAGAATAAACTCAAATGAATTATGAATACTCGAAAAAGAGTTCACGTTGATTATTTATTATTGTAGAGAAACTGTACTTTTAAAATATTTTTTAAACGAATGCTATAGTAATAGAAAAACTTATTTTCGAATTTCGATTTGAAACTTTAATTAGAGACACACATTAATAAGATTAATTTATTGTAAAATTTTCAGATGTTTTAATTTATTTCTATCCTGAAATATAAGAACATTAAATCTGCTAGTTTATATGAGCGATAGAAAGATATGCTAATCTCTCGTCAGCTCGTTTGTAAAGAACTGGAGTAAACTTGTTTTTTCTCACTTCACAGTAATCTATAAACTTGACCTGTTATTAGAGCCTACCGGATCCTACATTTTACCACAGAGTTTCTACACCTCTCTCAGATAATCTTAAAAATAATTGAGTCACAATCGACTGTTGCTTCTCGAGTATGATTCATTGATTCAGTCTCGACTGACTCCAATTTGTAATGAGCTATATGAATTTTATAATAAGTCCAAAAACTTTTTCGTTCCAAAATGCGAACTTCTAAGTTAATGTGTATCATGAAAGAATCTTTTTTCTTAAGAAACTAGTTGTTTTCTAATTCTACGTATTTTTATTAATAATTTGTAAAATGTACTGTTACTACCTAATCTGATAACTTTCGTTATTGCAAAAAAAAAAATATTATACATTTCTATTTTATTCTAGGATCATTGTATTGCTCGTTCTTCACGTAAAGGTGTACTTTATTGTGTAAAAGGCACATTGGTCAAGTAATGCAATCTCTCTTTTCCTCTTTTTTTTTTTTTTTTTTTTTTTCCTTATATAAAATATGCCTAATCCTGACGTTCTTATCTCTAACTATGTACAACACGTTCTTAGTGTTTCTGTTATTAATTATTTCGTTCTATGTAAATCTGAATATATTTTCTATTGAAAAGAAAAAAAAAAAACTAAAAAAATAAATCGATAAATGTAGCACCGTTGCAGCACCTATCGAAAAAAAAACAAATCAATTCATTTTCTTCTGTCAGATGATGTTATGTTAGATATTTATTTGTTTTTTTTTTGTGCTTCTCAACTTCATCATTCACCTGAGTAAGCCACATCGCGCGCACGGTTTCTCTCTGATATAAACAGACACGCACACACAAAAAATATGCACGACTAAAATACAACAACAATAATTAGGATTTTCTGTGTTCAAGTTCAAAAAAACAAAAGACAAAAATCTATGCACTCGCGCTAAACGTAGCGCTAAGTCTAAAGGACAAGAAAAACAAAAAAGAAGAAGAACGTTATGCAAAAAAAAAAAAGAACAAATGAACGAAGAAACAAACAACAACGATGAACACAATGAAAAACTACAAGAATAATCAACCGGCAATATCCATCATGTGCACATATATATATATATATACACCAGGTTTTTTTTATTGCCAGAAAAAGAAGATCTTTGATCATACTCTTACTAAAAGATTTACAAAAGAAAGAGCAGATCTATACACAAAAAAAAAAAAAGCAAAGACAGAAAAGTTAATTGTTAAAAAATGTTTCTTTGTTTTGTTTTTGTTTTTTTTTTTCATCATATAAGAGAAACAATCACTGCAATAGAACAAAATAAGAAAGAGAAAGAGAGAGAGAGAGAGAAAGAAAATCAATTTCGATAATGATATCCATTATTATTTTGTCGATAATAAAAATCATCATTTCTTTGTTGTTGTCGATAATTATTATAATTTGATCGTCTATAACCACCACTAGAATTTCCACGATATTTTTGACGTTGATTTCTATCATTACCAAATGTATCTTGATTTCTTGAATAATTATACATAGGTGCTGATACATTAGATGTATCTTCAAGTGCAATATTATCAAAAAAAGATTTCTTTTTATCATATATTGGTTCATAATCATTTGTTAAATTTGAATCATGTTTAAAATTTAAAAATTGATTTGATGATTCGGATTGTTCTTTAAATTCATCTTCACTTATTAATTTATTAAATTTACGATTATTTGTTTCAAAATCAAAATCATCATCATAAATATTACCATTATCATGAAATGTTTCACGATTACCATCACCTGGACGTCGTTGATAATTATTCATTTGTATACGACGATTATTATTATTATTATTATTATGAAAATATCTTTGTTGATGATATATATTACCATTTTGATAACGATTTTGTTGTTGCTGTTGTTGTTGTTGAGAATAATTTCGATCATTTGAAAAAAATGGTTGACGAACAGGTAATCCACTATCATCTTCTTGTTCATTATAATGACTATCTTGATGACGTGATGTTTGAGTTGAATGAGTATTTGATGGCCATCGTTGTTGAGAACGATTTGATTGTAATTGATCAGTTGTATTTAATGAAAAATCATCAAAAAATTTGCTTTTATTGCTTGATGGTTGTTGTTGTTGAGAGGAAGATTTAGTATTATTATTCCATTGCGATGAAGATAATAAAGACCATGATGCACCAAGTTCACCGGAATCAGTACGAAGACGAGATTCTAGAATAAAACAATAACATTAAATTAAATAAGACTAATGAAAACTTCGAAATTTTCAGACATGTGTCTAACTTAGAGTAAATGTAGACATCTATCGAATCGAACAGCTCGAGTCCAGTCTAATATGAAAAAATAAATAGTTTGATACTAATAGACGTATTTCTATTCTGCTATAGAATATTCAGATTCAGGTAAACCATTTTCCTCTTATGTTTTATAACTGTTTAGATCAATCTAAGGTAGAGTACAATTTGATCTTCAGTAAGATTTCATTATACTAATAAAAGCAAAAAAGAAATAAATTCAACACATTGATAATGACCGAATCGAACAGTAATCGATTCCATCTCTCCCTCTGGTGAATAATGTATTGCAAGAAGCCTTCGAAGTTAAAAAAAAGATCATTTTTTCGTATTGCATTCGAAATTCGTGTTTAAAATTGGTGCATATTTAAGTAAGCTTTTGTAAATCCTAAGTACGATAAATCTAATCAACGAAGTTTCTAATATGAATTTAGTAGCATTGAAAATCTGAATGACATTAGAAACTGTTAAAATACAATACATATTGTGGCACTCCCAATTGAATTTATTATGTGTTATTATCTACCCTTTCATTGATTGGTTGATTTAACTATTCATGCATAATATTTAACCTTCCCTTGCCATTTCTTCTTATGATGTGTTTTGTCTCTCCTTTGTCCTTTCTTCTATCATAAATATAGATCATTCAGCTATGTCTCTCTATTCTTTTTTCTTTCCCTTCCGGCTAGATATATAAATGTGTGCTTCATAGATGAACAAGGTGATTATATGATATCAAAAAAAAGAATAGAACGAATTGTACTTTCATCTGGAATAATATTTCTTTTGGCAGAAATCGTCATACAAATTCATACACGGTATTAAATCAAGATCTGTTTTTTTTTTGTTTACTTTAAGAAATCAGTAATTTTTATTTATAATGAGATAGGATAGATGAAATAATGGGAAGAATAATCATTTAGGAAAAAAAGTCTTCTGTAATTATTCTCTTTTTTTCTTATTTCGATAAAACCTAATTATTTGTACTCTCAACCTTCGCAAACACAACATTTTGTTCATAATTATATTCCACATTTGACAGTACGTGAATGTCGATTAGGTACATTAACGAGGGCATCATGTCCTCAAATGACTAAACCCATTTTTAAACGAGACTCTATTCAGGTACGAAATTATGATCAATAGTATAAACGTCTAAGAGAATTCAGTTATCGAAGAATTTATCGAATTTTTACTATATACTTGAAGAGATAGCTATGATCATGAAAATTAAATTTCACCTTAAAATTCTGTACAAATAAATATCTTAATAAACATTAGGTCAGTATAATATTTGAATTTCGTACTTTGAGATAGAAATATTGAATAGTTTGCTAATACAAAATATAAAAAAAATCAGTGAAATTTTCAAAATAACCTTTGAACAACAACGAATTTCTACTAAAAAATTGATATCTTAAGAACTAAAACTCATACAATTGAACCTTCTTAGACTTTTATACTACTCATCTAAATATAATCTCAATCAAACACTTATTGAAGAAAATTAAAAATCGCAACAATCGTATATATTTTAAATTTTGTTTTAACAAGAAAAATTTCTAAAGTAAAACATTTATTATTAAGTAACTAATCTGTACTAACTGTTAGTATAAAAATCATATTGATCTATATTTTCATAATTGAATTCTATCGAAAACAAACTAATTTTATTGATTGTTGTTCTAGAGTTCTGGTTATTATATTCTAAGAATAGCAGAAATCCTATCAATGCATAAATGTTCTTTTTTTTTTTAAATAAGAATAACTTTTTATTAAGAATCGATAAACTATTCGAAAATGTCAAACAAAAGAAATTCTTTTTTTTTACCTTCAGTTTTTGATAAATTTTTTAAATGTTGATCATCCGATAATTTTAATTGATGAAGATCATTTACTAATCGACTAGATATTGGTAAATCTTTATTTGATGTACTAATAACTGCCGATACAATAGCTGGATCATCATGTATTGATGATTGTTTTTGAGGTGGTGGTGGTGGCATTGGTGGTGATGATAAAACAGACATAGGATATGATGATTGTTGCTGTTGTTGTTGTTTTGGTTGACCATCAACTATTTGTTCTTCATCAACAATTTTTAAATCTTCAATATCACTATTAGCAAATTGCATTATAGGTACAAGTGTACCGGCTATTTGATTATTAGAAAAATTTCCTGCACGATTTTCTGTACCAAAACATTTGACATTTCCAAGAAGTATTGATGATGCTTGAGCATCGATGCCTTTTGATAAAAGCAAAAAAAAAAAAGAAAAGAATTTTTCATCTCTCCTAAATAATAATTTTAATTTACCAATAATTGTTCCAACATATCGACATTGAGATTTGGTAATAATTGCTATTTTACTACCAATAAAACTACTCGACATCATAAGCAATATATATATAGGTAAAGAATACGACGAAATAACGAAGAGAAAAAAAAAACACAAACTAACAATAGCTTTCTTCGACTTGTTTATTATTTTATCGTTGGATCTTTGTTTGATGCTAAACTCTGTATATCTGACATCTATTGAAAAGATAAATTTTAGTTTATAAAATGAATTTCTTTTTTTTTATTTATTAAATATTTAAATAATTTTTATAATATTTAATTGTTTATTTATATGATCAATCTTTATATATGATTCGTCATAGATATAAAATATGGATGAAGCTTTATGGAAAAAGAAAAACGTACAGCTGTAATATTTATCGATTACTAGTTAAACCACATTTTTTTTTTGTATGAAAGATAAGGTTGAATGAATACCTAATTAGTGAAGTAGAGAAATCGAAAATAATATTTTTTATCTTGTTTTTAGATATTTAAATTTCTAAAAAAAAAGCCGCAATGGGTGAAAATGTTGATAGTGAATTTGTCGATGAATCCTCTCAAATATTTCCTCTTACTGTTCTTATGTCATTTCTTATTGTATTTGCAACAATAATTATTTTATGGTGGGCAAAAAATCGTCATAAATCATTTCGTCGTGGTGAATGTTTACTTTTATGTGGTACATCAAATTCTGGTAAAACATTACTTTTTTGTCGTTTAACTATGGGTTTAGCTAAACGAACATTAACATCAATGACAGTTAATAAAGGTTCAAGGATACTTGAAAATGCATCATCTGATCGTCCATCAAAAAAAATTCATATTATTGATATACCTGGTAATTTACGTATACGTCAACGTGATTTTAATGCTAATAAAACTTCAGCTAAAGGTATTATATTTGTTATTGATAGTACAACATTAAAAGAAGAAAGTAATGATGTATCTGATTATCTTTATGATATATTAAATGAAAAAATATTTCGTCAACAACGTTTACCATTATTAATATTATGTAATAAACAAGATATAAATAATGATAATATAACAATTCAATCAATACGTAATTTACTTGAAAATGAATTAACAATGAAACGTAAAACACGTGCATCATCTGTTGATGTACATCAAGGAAAAATAGAAACAAATGATGATATTGGTCAATTAGGAAAAGATACATTTGAATTTAATGATGTTAAAGATATTAAAATTGAATTTGTTGAAGGTTCAGCATTAGGTACAGAAAAAAAATCATTTACTGAACATTATGATGATGTCGAAGCAATAGAAGAAGATGTTGATAGTGGTGGTGATGAAACTGATGCAGATAGTGGAGCAAATTTAAATAAAGTCTATGATTGGATTGAAAAGATCTGGATTAAATAAAGAAACATCTTCTATTTTCATTAATATCATTATTATTATTATCTTTTTTTTTTTTTTTTTTGTTCTTTTTGTTTTAATTTATTCATAGCAACAGAAAAAAAAACAAAGACAAGAAATAAAGACGAAACATATAATTATATTCTAGATGACTAGATTTGCAAAACATAAGAAATCGAAAAAAAAATCTATTGGTGAAGATGCAACACCATGGGAAAAATTAAAAGAACCTCTTAATGAAGAAGATCAACGTAAAGAAGCAAAACGTTTAGAAAAAAAACGTAAACGTGAATTAAAAAAGGTTTATATCAAACAAAAGATTTTTTTTATTAGAAATTACAAAAAAGAAATAAATAAATAAAAGAAAATTTTAGATCTGTTTTCGATGTCGAACACCAGGACATTCAATGAATGAATGTACAAGTGAAATATGTGATGAACAAAAAAAGAAACGTGACATAAAAACTGGTATTTGTTATAAATGTGGTTCAACAGAACATCGATTAAAACAATGTACAGTTAAGGGTGATTCATTTGCTTATGCAACTTGTTTTATTTGTGGTAAACAAGGTCATTGGTCACGTTTATGTCCTGATAATCCAAATGGTTTATATCCAAATGGTGGTTGTTGTAATGAATGTGGTTCTAAACAACACTTTAAAAGAGATTGTCCAACATTATTAAAAAAGCAAGGTAAAATTTTAGAAATAGTTCTTTCATTCTTATTTGAATAGATCAAAAGCATGATAGAATATTGTAACGCCAAGTTCAAAAATTTCAAAAACAATGGTCAGGAAGAGAGAGATCTGTAGGAACAAGTCTTTTTGGTTCTAGTCTCACATGGGAATTTCTCCAAGTGTTAATCGCCGATCGAGCTCATATTTTGCCTATAAATAAGACTCGATGAGATTAGCGGAAGCCTGGAAGGATTCGTCCCCATACTTTCGGAGTTACGACCTCTGGCAATGATATTTATAGGGAAGACCAACAATGAAATTTTGTCCACAAACTTGAAAACTCAATATCTCGAGAAAGAAATGTTCATTTGAGCTGAAACTGTCACGATATTCCAGCGACCATGAAACCTGTTGTTGGATAAAATTTCATTGTTGGACTTCCCTATAAATACCATTGCCAAAGGTCGAAAAACCAGTAAAACGGTCGTAATTCCAGAAGGACAACGTATGGGAACAAATCTTTCCGAGCTTCTGCTAGTGTCATTCAGTTTTATTTATGAGCAAAATATGAGCTCGATCGGTGATTAACATTTGACGAGGTTTTTTTAGTCAGTAACTATTATTTTCACCTGTATCGTCTCGGTAACTATAGTTTCGAGAGAGCTATTCCAGAATTTATTCGTATCATATCTAAAAACATGCTTCAGTACTTGTTGTTAAGATTTATTTACAAGAAAACTTCTTAAAATGCGCTCTTCCGATTTCAATGAATTATCATCTCGCGATGTTCTCTCGTTAGTACTATAGTTTGATATGATTCACAGCATTTCAAAAAAATAAAAAATAAAATTTTTATTCGATTCTAAATAAATAATTTTTTTTTGTTTTTAGGAATTGATGATCAACAATTACCTTGTCTTACTTCGACTACAAATAATATTGATGATAATGTTGAATCAATAATAGAAAAATCTAATAAAACAAAAAAATCATTAAAACGTTTAAAACTTGTTAAATTTTAATGTGTTGTTGTTTTGTTTTTTTTTGTCTTTTCTAGATAATAAAAATGAAAATAGCTATTGAAGGTTGTTGTCATGGTGAATTAGATCGAATATATGAAACTATAAAACAAATTGAAACAGAACAAAATATCAAAATTGATCTTTTACTTATAGGTGGTGATTTTCAAGCTATTCGAAATGAACATGATTTACAATCAATGGCTGTTCCACCTAAATATCGTTCTATGCAAGATTTTTGGCGTTATTATTCAGGAGAAAAACGTGCACCTATTCTTACTATATTCATTGGTGGTAATCATGAATCAAGTAATTTTCTTATTGAATTACCATATGGTGGTTGGGTAGCACCAAATATATATTATATGGGTTATGGAAATGTTGTTAATTATAATGGTTTACGTATAGCTGGTTTATCTGGAATATATAAATCTCATGATTATAATTCTGGTCATTATGAATTACCACCATTTGATGAAAAAACTATTCGTTCAATATATCATATAAGAAGTTTAGATGTATTTAGAATAAAACAATTACAACAAGGTAAAATTGATATTATGTTATCACATGATTGGCCACGTGGTATTGTTTGGTATGGTGATACACAACGTTTATTACAACGTAAACAACATTTTCATAATGATATATATACAAATCAACTTGGTAGTGAACCATTAGAAGAAGTTTTACTTCGTATACAACCAAAATATTGGTTTTCAGCACATTTACATGTTAAATTTGCTGCATTAGTTGAACATACAAATGGACAATTAACACGTTTTCTTGCTTTAGATAAATGTATACCAGGAAGAGATTTTTTACAAGTAAGTCTATATGAAAAAAAAACAAATCGCTCTCAGTATTCCAAAAAAAAAATAAATTTATTGAAGTTAGTGAATGTGTCAAGTATGTGGAAAGACAGTTTTGAACAGTATAAAAAAATATATAAATTACGATGAAGAAGTCGAACTTCTTTTGTGACAATTCATTAATTGATTTTTTTTTTTCGACCAATGTCTTATAAAACATTAGGAAGTCTTTTTTTTTTGCTTTGAAAAATTTCTTGAATGTGAAAGATCGTTTTCTTACTCTTTTCATTAACATTTGAAAATTTTTCAAAATATTAATTTCATTATTTCTATGAAAAGATTCTTGATATTGAACCAATAAATCCATCACCATCACCAACTAATCGTTTATCACTTGATCCTGAATGGTTATGTATATTAACAAAAACTGATCATTTATTACATGTTCAACGTACAAATACATTTTTACCATCAATATCACAAACTTCTTTTACTCCAAATGAAAATGATTATCAAAAAGTACAAGATGATTTTTCAAATACATTTGAAATACCTGAAATGTTTGAACCAACTGGTCCTATTTATGTACCAGGTCGTGGAAATATTCCAATTGATGTAGAACAATTAAGAAAAAATAATTCACAAACAGAATTATTATGTCTTATGCTTGGTATACGAAATCCGATTGATGTTATACTTAATCGAAAAACTCAATCCATACAAATCGATCAGACATCTTCTATGGATCAAACTAATTAGAAATGAAATAAATCAATTATTTGTACAGATAGATATATTATTTTGTTTTGTTTTTTATACAAGAAAATTTCATTTTCATTCAGATAAATTTGAAATTTATCATTCTATTAAGAATGTATAACGAAAACAAAAAATTATTTCATAGAAAAATTAAAATTTTTTTCTATTCTTCAAAAAATTGATCAATGAATTTGCTTTATTTTTTCAGATCGATTTCTTTCATTTTTGTGACGAACAATAAAAAATTCATCATACATTTATTATTCATATTTCAAATTTCCAATATTTTTAGCTCCTAATATTATCAAGGCATGTAATCAATAAATTTGACAATTGAAAGTTTATTTATTTCTCCTGACAAAAAGTTTGCTTTATATCTCTTACGAAAGAACATATTAAATTATTGGACACTATTCGACTTCATATTATGGCTATGAGCAGATCTCAGTAAAACTAAGAAACGATTTTAACGTTCGAATCTATGGCCTACTGACAAAAAATTCTCATCGTTTCGGGATACGATTAGTGCGTCTTCAGGGTCCTTACCTCTAACGAGGGAACGTTCCCAAGTGATTAAAAGCTTTTGAGCTCATATGTTGCCATTAGGTAGGGAACCACTAGATTAGAGAAACCTCCAAAGGATTCGTGCCCATATTGAGATTTGACAGAGATATCGAAGTTTTAGTGGATTTTTCCTGCTGGACCCTAGTTCTACAGCAAAATCATATTTTCGAATTTCGATCTGAAACTTTGCCCACATGAAGACCTCGATCAGAGTAGCTTATATAGAAAATTTTAGAATTTTTGGACATTGCATTTCCAAGGTATCAATTTTTGAAAATATAGGCACTTTTCTATATATAACATGGATACTTTGAAAGATTGATACCTTGGAGATGCAATGTCCCAAAATTCTGAAATTTTTTATACAAGCTACTCTGATCGAGGTCTTCATGTGGGCAAAGTTTCAGGTCGAAATTCGAAAATATGATTTTGCTGTAGAACTTAGGGTCCAGCAGGAAAAATCCACTAAAAATTCGATATCTCTGTCAAATCTCAATATGGGCACGAATCCTTTGGAGGTTTCTCTAATCTAGTGGTCCCCTACCTAATGGGTAACATATGAGCTCAAAAGCTTTTAATCACTTGGGAACGTTCCCTCGTAAGAAGTAGTTGGAATCAAGTCTGACTTTGACTTTTTCGATCTTTGCTAAGATCTTAGGAATTTTATCCATATAATTCGACACTTCAAAAAGCAATGGTTTAGTAAAAGAAAATGTATTAATTTCCTCTATTCAACTATTGAGTATCTTGAAAAAAAACATGTTTGTTTTCAATGAAACTTTTAGATATAGTAGTAGGCCATGGATACGAATCCTTTTAATTGTTACTTAATATCATAAAGATCTACTTGTAGCCGTCGTATAATACATTTATATATCAGCATATCCTGAGAATTTCTTCAAACAAGAAATGAAGTATTATTTGGTAAATAAGAATTAAAATTGAGCAACACAATCAATTTTTTTTTTGATCAAATGGTTCAATGCATGTAAATCTATCAATGAACTTATACTACTCTATGGTTTATTTTTTTAATCTTGTGATATACTAAGAACTTATATCAATAAATATAAAATTAAAAGTATGATTAGTAAGATATTCCTATGTTCATTGAATTTTTTTTCTATAAATAATTTTCCAGAATTCGATGCATTTTCATAGCTCATTTTATTGCATAAGTTTCTATTATTAATAATTTTACTTGAGAAATTGAATATACTGAATATCTATGTAAAATTTAATCCTAAATTTTGTGCAATAGTTTGCTAGTATTTCAATTGATTTTAAAATTATTCTCACTCTAGAGTTGATGTTTTGTTTTCTTTTCTTTTTTTTACATTTTTAAATTATCGTTCATATATTATTTTAATCTGAAGTAAAATATGAATTAGAACTAGTATTATTAAGTTAGTCTAACTTATTTATTGCTAAATAGCTGCTACCTCAAGAAATATTCTAAAAACTTTCAATATTGTCAAAGTTTGCTTTTCTATCGATTCATTTGAGTTTTTATGTATGTGGTCAGAAGATTTTATGGTTTCACTACTCTCCTACATGGATCATTTATACCATTGCATTGCTTTTTTCTTTGTGTGTGTCTACTTTGAAATTTTATAATTTAGTTTAGTTAAAAATTGACAAGTGATCTAGTTCAAAGACTGATAAATTTAATATTTGCTTATCTTTCGAAATTATTTATAGAGAAATTGATTCAAAGTAACTTTTACTAAACAAGATTCTTGTTCTCTAGTGATTATATTTGCATATGCAATTCATTATAATACTAAGTTAAACATATTCATGCTTGACTCAGAAATTACTATATACTAGAAGGCATAGTCAGGGGTGTAATTATTAAATTGCTTTCTTGAATAGCGTTGTCAAAACTAATGCTTCATGCATCTCGTTTCTCATTTTCAACACATTGCATTTGTAACACACTGCTTATAAAAGTGATTCAATCATTACTTAACTATTTTGGCATATAAATAAGAGCGAAAGAGAAAAAAAAAGAAGAGTGATTCGTTTCTTTTTGTATTGCATATTAGTAAGTTTGACTAGAAGCTTTCAAAATGTATACTAAGATAAACACAACAATAACTTTATGTTTTATATCAGGCAAAACAGAACATAATGACTTTTTATTTGAGTCTGATTGTCTACAAGAGTTCTTTTTGTATAGATATTTGTAAAAATAGAGACTCTTTCACAACTACAATCCGTCGGATTCAAATTATTCAGACTTGAACATGATCTGATGTGAGTCTGAGATTAACTCGACAGACTCTACATTGAGTTTTTCAGTAAAATCATACTTCAAAAGATTTTCCTCTTAAAAATAGATCTTTTAGAGATTCTATGAAATTCACAAACAACAAATTTTATCTCGCCATTATCTAGAAATTCTGAAGAAAGTTTTCATTCGGTTATAAGAGCATCTGTCATGTTGCTAATTAAAAGTAAATTGATCGTTTTGAAAAATCTAGATATGCTCAAAAAACAAAAACACCATTGAATAGAGATTTAGTATTCTCAGACGTTGTTTACTGAATGTAGGAATTATTTTTCAAATATGCTGTCTCTATTCAGAGTCTTTTTAATTTCCTTGAACTAATTACGGAAAGAGAGAGTGCTTTTTAAACATGTGTTTAAGTCGTATTTGTGATACTTAATAAGAAGATTAATTTATATGAGTCATAGAATTACATCTCGAAAATAAGGATATTATCATACGATGAAATTTAATGTTTCATATATAATAAAGAGAAGTTATACCTGAATTACTTATAACTCGACTAAATGCACTCTTACGTTCGATAAAAAAAAATACCGAAAGACTCGCTCGGTATTGTTTGAAAGACGTATATA